AGAGCTCTCATCCAAAATGTTGAAGAAGTTAGTATTAATTTTTTGCTGTATTCTTTACATACTCCAGTGGAGCAGCTTTACCACAAGTCTTTACCTGTTTGATTCTTTACAGAAATAAGATAAACCTTAACGAAATATCACATGATTCTGCCATGGGCCTCGTCAGAAAGGTGTTGAGCATAGGCGTTCTTCTTACTGAGGTAAAAGTTTATTACTTATATTCAAAGAAGGCTTTTAAAATGATGACAATGGTGATAAAAGGAGCTTCTTGATAATATATAACATATACCCAGGCTAACTCCAACAAGTGGAGGTGCCACCACTAAGTTAATGAAAGGACGACTTGGGAGGTTAGGGCACGTCCTGTGCATATATCTAAGGAAACTTTCTTTACACGATGAATGCAACCAACTAGAACAGTTTAGAAGTGTGAGGTCAAAATTAAAATGATCTGTTGTGGTTCCAAAGGTTCTTTTTGTATTGGATCTTTCAATACCTGTAGCGATGGGCCAAATGGAGTATCAAAAAAGGATTCATGTGGCCGACTTCAATTTTACTACAAATAAGGCATAGTGTGTTGTTTGTCTTTTCTTTTTGTTTATTTTGTGAATATTTTCCCCTTGCATAAGTCTGGATAATTAGATATTTCACTTCCACTAATTATATGCCTTGTAGCTAATCATCAAGGAAATGCCATACTGAGTTTAGGAACAGAATAAACATAGGAATTTCTACAATCAACTCCATAGTAAACCAACAGGAATGCAATCCACTCAAACAAAGTTTCAGTATTTTTTTGTCCATTAAGTATTTTGTTTTCGAATTTTCAGGGTTTTCAGACTGCAAAGGCCCATGTTCAAGTCCCACTAGCACGTGGACCGTATAATTTTGCTGACTCAAACTTCGTTGCAAATTAGTCTTAGTGCTTATTTGGTTTAAATCATATTCTCATTACAATTTAAAGATCAAAGTCAAACTTCAATTTTAACCATACATGTCATGGGAGCCACAAGGCCACAACTAGTATCCACTACTCATTTCTACCAATTTACAATTTCAGCAACTTAACAATTTCTCCCAAACAAGGACTTATTTGTTGTATTTGGCAAATTTTTTCGTATTCAGAGGATATTGTGTTACACAGCTGACCTTTTACTCTACATGCTTTATGTGTCATTGTGATAAAAATAATGAAGAACGGACTAGAGAAAAAATGTGGAAAAGAAGCATAGATCAAAAAGCTGTAAACATATTAACATACTCTGTATACCAGGTCTATGTGGATACTGTTGGAGATGCTGAAAAGTATAGAGTAAAGCTGTCTGAGAGATTTCCAAATATTAAATTTGTGGTCGCAAAGAAAGCTGACAGTCTTTACCCTGTTGTAAGTGGTGCAAGTATTGTTGCAAAGGTGACTATTTGTACTTTTCTTGTTATGTTGGTTCTTCGCGTTCCTCTGTGGTCATATTTTTCTGGATGGTTTTAGTGTCACAACTGTTCTTTCTTTCAGGTCACAAGAGACAGAGCTTTGCGGGGTTGGGTGCTTGATGAAACTGCTGAAAACATGCATACCACTTTTGGATCTGGATATCCCGGAGGTAATTCTTTCATTATTTTTTGTTGATTTAGAATATTATGTGGTCAATTTATCTTCTCAATATATAAATTTACATTGATTTCTTGCAGATCCACAGACAAAGGCCTGGTTGGAAGATCATAAACACTCAATCTTTGGATTCCCATCACTGGTGCGCTTCAGTTGGGGAACATGTACATCATATTCCACAGACATGGTTGAAGTGTTATGGTTAGTCTCTGAAGGAACATAGGATACCGAATGTCCATTGTTGCTAATGGTTTCTTTTCTCTTTCTCCCAACTTTTCTTGTGCTATGTAAATGATCTCTGGCTCTCTCATTTTCTTTGAATTTTTTTAGCAACTTCATATTAAATATAAATTCTTGTATCCACGATCACTAAATTTAGTTCTTAAAATCTCGTGAGATTTTCTTTACATGATATCTCTATGCTGCTACTGTGATAATGGCTTGATAGGCTCAAAGTACTGTAATCTCTGAATTTCAGAAAATATGCAGTTTTGATATAGTGCTTACGTCAAAAACTTAGCCCCCGTTTGGGATCCATTTTAATGTGATTTTGGGAGAAAATGTATTTTGGAATTGTGATTTTTTGGAGAATGGGTGGTTAAAAGATAGTGAAAAGTTTTGGGTTTATGTATAATATTATTTTATTTTGTGTGATTGAAAATAAGAAAGAGAAAAATGTGTTTTTGGGATGATGGAGCCCAAACAATCTTAATGGATCTCCTTTTGATAGGGAAACTGATGATACTGATGAGGATGGTAGCAATGGAAGGACTGTGAAACGACAAACGAAACTAACCAGTGTTGGTTTCACTCCAGTGAAGAGAAAAAGTGAAGAAACTGAATCAAGTGGCAAAGGTCGTTGCAAATTTTTCCAAGCTCGTAAACTTGAGCTACTCTCCCATTTCTGAAGGCAAGTTTTATTACCGTGGGTATGATTATTTCTGTCTGTCTTTAAGCCCCTGTTTGACAACCATTATTTCAAAATTCTTTATTCCATATACTCATTTTCAACCATACATTCATATAATAAAATATTTTGCACGTAAATCCAAAACTTCTTCTACCTTTTAATCACACATTATCCTAAAATTCACTGTTCAAAACTTTTATTTGCCAAATAATGGCCATCAAACAAGGGCTAAACTTATCTTTCTTTATTGTTTCTTCCATTATACTAACATAGAAAATACATTTATATGTTAATTATGTGTCTTCATATGATGGCATATATTTATCAGCGAGTGATGGTGGGAAAATAAAAAAAGAAAAAAGAATGCATTTAGTGTAATACACTAGTGACTAGCGACCGGTTTTAAAAGAGAATCTTTTTGAACAATTTGAAGGTGCCTTGGTGCAATTTCTTGTTGATTTAGAAGGTTGTCGGGCAATGAATCTGTTGTCTATGATGTGTCAACTTTTAGCCGAAGTTCTGTTGAGGATGCAGTGTTTGACCATCGTGTAGCTGGTTCTGTTGCTCTTTGAATATGAATAATGGTGCCATGATTGAAATTGTGCAGAGTTAAATTTCAACACAAGCCTGAAGTCAGAATTATGCTCTTGCCAATTAGGCCTTCATTTGGCAAAATTTATAGGCCATTTATAAACCCACAAGTAATATCCATTTATCCACCACTCGTTTATATCTATTCTTAAATTATTCCCAAATTGAACTTTTAGAGTTTCCCCTTCATAAGATGACGTTAATATCCAAAAATCATTCAGATGAATGCATGCTTAATGAGCAATGCCCTGTGTTCCAAAGGAAGACAAATATCAACATAGTGGAGATACAGCTGCAGTGCCTTTTTATTTTCCTAGCTGGGCTTTCCTTTGAAGAGTTTTTATAATTTTTTATCTTTAAATTTATAGGTAGCATTTGATGAAGAGGCATCGAGAGGAGAAACTTTGAGCCAGTATCGTCCTTAAACTATGAAGCAAGTTCAGAAAATATCAATATTAATAATTTGATAACTTGGAATGAAAGAATCTCTAACTCTAGCATTCGATTACCAGGAAGTAAGTTATTTGATCATCACCCAGTGGCACATATTTTAATGATTTTGGCCGATGTCTATCTGGTAATGAAGATAATCTGTGGATTGTATTCTCTCTCACGTTAAAAAGTATGATGTTTCTGTATAGTTGGAAATGGCATGAATAGAGCCGAATGTATCAAACCTTGTATGTGCTACTACTGTTTTTCCTCAACTCTTTGATGGCTATATATATAATGCCTAGTAAACTGTTTTTGAATTTTTATTGATCCAAAGAGACATAAGATACCTTGGCCAGGAGGTTGGTCGACATTACCTGAGTTCTGTGATACCTTAGTGCAATTTCAACACAGATAGAGATGGAATTAGTTGAGCTCATAGTTTACGTGTATGTTAGACCTTAGTAAAAATTGCAGCACAGCGAACCAAGGGACATATATTAGACTCGGTTTGACTTGGCACAACCTAGGCCCATGTACCCAATTGTTCCAAATAAATCCACCTTAATTAAAAAAAAAGAAAAAAGAAAAGAAAAGACCAAAATGACCTAGCTGAAGACATCAAAGCTGATGTTGAGGTCGATCACAAGTCATTAGAAGGACGAGTTTGATAGGCCAAAGCTTGTGAAAAGAGTTGCTCAGCTGGAATGTTGAGCTAAAACGATTCCAAGGTTGAGATGGAAATGCTAAAGTGAATGCTAAGGCAATGTAGTACAACATAGATGCTCACAAAAGAACTCGAACGGAGGCCTGCCTCCACTAGAAATCTTGTTATTTGTTTTAAACATGTTAAACACTCAAGATAATGTTGTTTTGAGAATTAGAGACGTAATATTACTACCAAAAGCAGTAAAATCATAGGAAGAAAATAGATATAAGAACATGCAAGATTTATAGAGATTCACCCTTCATGTGAGATTATGTCATTTATTTACTGTAGTAATTCACCGTGCTGAAAATTTTATAAGAAAAAATCGCACATTATATCTTATCTAACCTCTCTCTCTTTCTCTCGTTGATGGTAATACAAAATTCTAATGATGGCTTCTTATTTATAAGATAAATTAGGGCAAAATCGAAATTGGGATCAATCCGCGACAATAATTAGACTTTACAACTTAACGTATTGCATCTATCAAATGTCAAGAATATCACTATTTCTAAGTCAATGAAGTTGCATTTACTGATCTTTATTTACAAGTTCTTGGCAGATTTCAGACTCCAAAACTATTAATTTGGACGTATGAACGGGTTTGAAAAGTAATATGTTGTCATAGTCGAATGAACATGAATCATACTGTCATTATTATATGGAGTTCCTGTACCATTGTTAAAATTTCAATTCTGTCCTTCCCACATTGAAAATTCTTCCTCAGTGACTATATATGTATATCGAGATGGATGGCTTCAGAATCCATCGATGTTCTTGTCCATCAAAGCTTTCCACTTGAAAAATCTATGTCAGATTCTCCAAAAAACCTGTTTGATCTCCCACCTGACTCCTTTTGGGTCCCCAAAGACTACGAACAAGATTGGTTTGATCGCAATGCAATGATGCAACGTAAAACCTCCATAAAACTCGGTTTTCTTGCTGGTTCAACTCGAAACTCCAAGTCCTTTTCTCATCGATCTTCACTCTCTTCCAACCAAAAACACAGACCATCTCTCATTGGACTCGCTGGTACTACTCAAACACCTCGCTTGGGCATAGTTAGAGATGCTAATCGACAGCTAAACCATGTGGGAAGTTCTTGGTTGTTCAGAAGCAGGTCTGAACCTGGAGGGAAGCCACCAACGCAGCTCTCTGAACCGGGTTCTCCTAGGGTGTCTTGTATTGGAAGGGTTGGATTGAAGAATAGTGGTCATAGGAAAACCGGCATCTTGAAGCTTTTCAATTCGATTTTTCGCGGTCAAAAGGGCAAATTGCATGTGGATTTGAGACAAAGAATGGATCGGCCGGTAAGGTAGAACCGAAACGGTCCATGTAAGGTATGTGGTCAGAATCATAAGGCGGCAATAATAATAGGGGGGCATGGATTTATACCAAACACGTGTTAATTTTTATTAATTATTCTTCTAATTTGTTAAAGAATAATTGACAAGTTCGTTATTTCAATATGAAAGCAATGGGACATTCCAATAGATCTATCTTTCAATAATAATCTTATCATTTTATAATTTAAAAAGTTCCTAAAAGGAGGCTCAAAAAGTTGATTTTAGTACCTTCAAAAAGTACATGGTATTAGGAGTATATTTTATACCAAATTTATTTGTTCTTGAATTTAACAACAAATTCTTTGTAACGGTGTCAAAATCTTGTTAATTTTATTATCTCGCAAGTATATGAATAGTAGGCATTATGAATATTCAAGCAATTGATAGAGCACTAATATCCTGTATTCCCCCATATTTATCCATCTTAATATCAATACGAGATCATCCTCACGTATGACTCGGCAATATCCTTATCCAATATTCATACATGCAAAGATGCATTGAATCACGAGAACTTCCTATTTAGATTATGCATAGTATAGACAATTATTACTAACGTCTGTAGGACCTCAAGATGATTGTTATCATATACTATCTTTCTTATTCCTTCTCCCGAACGACAACACGAATCACACATATTAGTTCAATTAGTTGAAAACATTAAGATCATAATAAGCGTTCCAACAAAACAGACTTCTAGTGTCGAAATAATATAAAGACTTCAAAACATAGGATTTAATGTTATCCTAGTATCTATACTACGAGTAAAGAATTATAATTTTACAATAACACCAATTAAATAGATATAACATCGCCCGGAACTCAAGTTTGGGAGTCTTGATTTCCTTCAATGATTCTTGATTTCTCTCATTTGATCGTCTTGTAATTCGGTACTGGATCCGTCTCTGGGAATATGTGTCTTGTAATAAAAGCTTCTTCAGAACTTGACAAATAATATGGAATTTTGTATCAATGGCTCTCTTCTTATCTATGGAATATGTCTACGAGAGCTTCCTAACTTCCTCCTCTATATTTATGGATGAAGAGTTGTATTCATAGAGTGAGAATTGGGTCAAAATCCACGTCCTAATTGATTTTCAAGAAGAGGCGAAATAAAATTAGGAAAGTAACTGGCAGGAATGGCATTTCCGATGGCACAGGCCACTGGAATTGTTCTCTGCAACTGAATATTTGGTGGCTGTTGGCCCATAAATTCTTCTCTTGCTTCGACTTGAGTCATTTTTCCTTTGCACCTTTAGTCCTTCATCTTTAAATCTTCATAATTAAATCATCATCATTCCTCCATCATCTGTAATTGATTTGATGTAAGTTTTACATCCCTAAACTCATCAAACGTTAGATTTAGCTAGAGCTATCCGTGGGTCGATTCGGTTCGATTCTGAAGAGACTCGAATCTACCCAAAACTTTCGGATATTTATAAATGGAACCGTCGGGTCCAAATATAATTATGGAACCGTTCGGGTTCGGTTCCATTCGGGTCGGTCCGGTTCCGTTCGGTTCTGTACCATAATTAAATTTTTTAATATTTACAACAACACTACATAAATACAACTAATGACATTTCATTCGTAACTTTTACAAATTAACGTAGCCCAATTCAAAAACATATAAATAACTAGCCGTCCAATAAGATTAATTCAATGCATACAAATACCAAAAAGATTCAAAAACATATAAATAAATAACCATCCAATAAGATTAATTCAATGCATACAAATACCAAAAAGTAGATATTAATATTACAGTAACACTACATAAAGTATTTTCATTTACTTCAAATTAAAATAGGCTAATGATCTGTATTTTCATTTACTTCAAATTAAAAAATAGGCTAATGATCTTTAAAAATGATTTGGGTTTTAAAATTAAAATTATGAAATAATCTGATTTATTTAATTAATTCGCTAATTTGTTTAGAAAAAATAAAATAATTTAATTAATTCAATATAAAAAATAAAAAAATTATTTAGTTTTGGTTCTTATTCGGTTCTTCGGTTCTNTTAATATAAAAAATAAAAAATTATTTAGTTTCGGTTCTTATTTGGTGTTTCGGTTCTTGGTCTAGACTCGAGACTCGATTCAAACCCATCAGTTCTCGATTCGGGTACCTGTTCAAGTATTTAATTTATGAAGAACCGCTCGGTTCGATTCAGTTCGGGTTCGGGTTCGGTTCAATCCGGTTCGGTTCGAGACTTTTGGACACCCCTAGATTTAGCTCCCAAAACTTGTGAATCACCTCTAGTTGGCACATTAATGTTTCCAATTGATTAATAACAATCCCAATGATTTTCAATCCTCCTAATCAATTTAGCTCCAAATATGTATTTTTCATCCCAATTGCTTCCAAATTAGATATATACCTACAATTAACGTATTTACACCTAAATTAGATAGATATATGTTCAATTTTCGATAAACAAGCAAGTATAAGTTCCCAATCTACTTCATTCTTGATTACGCTGTAAATGTACCCCTACTTGGTTTAGCTAAAAGAGTTGATAAAAATATAAGTCAAAATCTACAATTCATTTCAACCACATTTCACAGGACGCACAAACTTTCATCAACTTCAATTAAAATTTACCAAAAATAAAATTTTTTGCTAAACCAATCATGGGCGTAATGAATTCTCCATGTGCAAGTTGGAGTTTACAACTTTCATGATCATTAGCAGGGCTATTAATTTTGAAGTAGATAGTTTTAACAAACTAGGCATACAAAATTGTATCATCCAACAACCATTTTAATTGGTGATCAAGCATGGCGGTGTCTAATTTGGTGGTGCCTCTAGTTTGGTACCCTATCCAATACACAAACCTACTCATGTTCATCAATTTGGACATAAAAGAAAGTAGGTCTCTTAATTTTGAAGACATCATGGAATTGTTCATGGATATTCGATACGATACCTTAAATTAGATCGTGCTTGTTGATGGTTATAAGAATTTTAAACTACTTTACACTAACTTTCGCGGGTTAGAGTTCTTCCAAGTCTACGAAACGAGGTCAAGCTGGGACATCGACCACCAAATGGACTCCAATACTTAAAACTATAATTTCAGAACATATGCTTGTTAAGTTTTATATCCAATTGTGTGAATCAAAACTCGAAAACCTTAATAATCAGAGAGAATGTCTTCTGAGTTAGCTTTTGTATTAGCATTGTGCCTTGAAATTATTACATTAAGAGTTTTAGGTTATGGTTTTACTTGTATTTGCAACGTATTACGTTATTTTTCCATTAAACTTGTGAACTTTGTCATTTTCAGGAAAAAGAAATGGAGGGCGTCTCACACGTTTCTTTGACAACCAGCTTTACGTCGAGTTCTGGCTCAACTCATCTAGTATTACTCAACAATTATTATTTATATTGTATTGTGTCTCGAACATGTTTCCACTAAAACAAAACTGAAACATGAAAACAAAAACGTAAATCATTGTTCAAAAAAGAATGTTGAAGACATCAAAGGAATTCTTGATTGAGAATACAATAAAAGTTAGATCGTAAAGACATTTACTGTTGAGCATTAGAAAATTTAATTCTATTTCACCGAAAGCAATCAATTGATAGAAATAAATAAAAACACACAAGATTCATAGAGATTCACTCCAATATGAAATTATGTTATCTTTTATTGCTACAATAATTCACTACTTTGAAAATAAGTTGGGAAATTTGGCCAAACGGCCTAGTAAGAGAATGATTTTGGACAAATGGCCTTTGACCAGAATTAAACAAAAAAAAAAAAAGAAATTCAAAAGGTTTTAATTGATAAAAAGACAAAATTGCAATTCACTTATTAACCTAAAAATCATCCTATTTTCCCTCATTTCACTCATTTAACCAACGTCATCCATCTTCTCAAAATCCCTCAGAGAACTCAAACCCCCCCCCCCCCCCTCTCCTCTCTGTTGTTTTATGATGATAATTCAAAAGTCTAATAACGGCTCCTAATTTATAGGACAAATTAAGGTAAAATCGAAACTTACAAGAACATAAATTCTTAAGACTAAATATACAATAATACAAATTCCTAAGCTATTCTTGATGAAATTTTGATCAAGTTCCCACTCCCAACTCAGTTGGGAGGAAGGCTTCCTGCATCTCTTCCAAATCTCACGACGACCTCGTAGCGAAAGTTAATCTGCGTACTGACTTCGTGGAGCGATAATAATTAGGCTCCATGACTTAATATTTACATATTACAAAGTTTTCAAAAAACAAATATTAGAGAATATGCTCTTTACGTGGTGAAGTCTCCTTTTATTTTCTCTCAAGTTTGGACCTTCTAGATAATTTGAGCATGTTTGGGTTAATATGTTATATTTTATAATTTTCAAGTAAAGATTATACCATCAAACTAATTAATAAAAAGACTTATTTTAAAACTTACTTTATTATTTATAAGTAGATTCCTAAGCTTAGTCAACCACTTTCTTAAAAAATCGTCTCAAATCTATGATCGTGTGAATCGTGTGAATCTATGGTGTAAATATAAATAGTGAAATTTATATTCACA